GTGATTGGCTGCATTTGGGTGATACTCAGCAACATGTGCTTACGATCAACACGGTACCAAGGTGCGATCCACCAGACGGGTGAACATCTGTAGACACGATGGGTGCGGCCCTGTACTTCAATGTACCATTGTAACCGGTAACATCGAACATAACATGTTGCGTACATTACATAGAACATAACATAGTACATATATTACATACGTCGTCATCTTCATCAAGCATAAAGTGGTGATCACGGATTCATTCATAACTCATCTCTATTTGAAAAGTCGGGTATTTTAAGAATAAATAAGCTTATATAATACACGGCAAGAGACGTCATGGTTATACCGGGACTTAAACTTGGGCTATGTAGAAGCTTGCTGCCCTTTTTAATAAACTAAATGAGAAATTAGACAAAAGCAAACATACACACAATAACAAAACACCACAACTGCGCAAATATTATAACCAGCTCATATACGAATTAACTCGCGTCTCAAACAAGCACATTATCAGCATCGAACATTGAAGGCGAATCCCATAATTATAAATGATTTAACCTATTTGAGGGAGAGATTACTTAAATTTGTAAACGTTTTTTTTGCGAGAAACGGGATCATTGATATATATTGATATACAAATGAAGTTTGTATAAAATGTAGCTAGAAGCATTATTTTTTACACCGAAATTCGATGACCCGGGTCCATCGGAGATAGCCAACTATTCTTATCGCCAAAACTAAACCGAAAGGCAAACAAAGCATATATACGTACGAACAACTTACACCAAATATGGACCTCACTTTCATCATGCATATAATGACAAACATCGACGAATCCCGAATTTATCACATTTTAGACGGCATCAAAATTTTAAAAGAACGTTGTACAAAAAAGTAAAAAAAAAGATGATGTGCGCAAACCAGGGATCGACCTCCGGTCTCGTTTGCGAGATTCATCCATCCTTTCTCCCTAGATTATATAGAAAGGCATAAAACACAAGCAAATATACAGAATACAAAGACACCACACATGTTACAACAAGCGCATATACGTACAAACAACACATATGAAACAAGTACGTCGTCATCTTCATCAAGCATAGAGTTGTTATCGTAGATTCATTCGTAAATCATCTTTTTAAAAAGTCGGGTATTTGAGAAATAAAGAAGTTAATATGATAGATGGCAAGAGACATGGTATTACACCGAAACTTAAACTTGGAGCTGCCAAGTGGAAGCTTGCTATCCTTCTCCATAAAGCAAATGAGAAGTCAGACAAAAGCAAACATACACACAATAATAGAACACCACACCTGCGCATATATTTTAACCAGCTCATATACGAATTAACTCGCGGCTTAAACAAGCACATCATCAACATCGAAATTAGAATGCATATCCAATATGGGATGTGTATTCTATGTTCTGTAATTTTGACGCTTTGCGTCTTTATGCACCAAAACTAGCTCCTACGCCAACTAATTATGCAGACCTACATCGAATGTGGGTTCCTTTCCTCAAGCAATTAAGCGTATGCACCTTGCTGATGTGCTCGATGAGGTAAATTTCAAATCTTAACTGTTTAATAATGTGGAAAGACGTTCGTCAGGCTCGCCCTGCTTGAGATTTTAACCTGATTTAAAATGCGGGGATTCGTTTTACGTGCACAGCGTATGACACTATATCCAAGCTCAGCGTGCTTAAGCTCAACGCTTTTGACCCACAAATCCTTGTCGCGGGCTTCTCAAAATAGGGTTGTCGTTATGATGTTGATCTGGTCCGTCTTCCTGATGAAGTCACGGATCACATGATTTTTGATTGGTTTACAGAACACAGTGCGCCTCCTACGTTCGTGCTTCCTACGTTCGTGCTTCCTACGTTCGTGCTTCCTACGTTCGTGCGTCCTACGTTCGTACGGAACAGCCTTCTCTCACGTGAGTGTACGGTCTATTTCGCGCAAGATTAGGTACCGGCTATCTTGGTCCCATCACAAGATTATGTATCTTCGCGAGATCGCGTTTTCATTACCCGACGATGGTATGGTTCTCTTACGCTCTTGCTTCGTTAACTACAAAATGGCTCGTTAATACCGCGTGGCGGTGCCGTCTATTCAAATTTGTCAAGAAGTGGAGGCGAATCGTTCTGCGGCTGACACTTCGTCGTCACCAGCCCTAGACCAGATGCTATCATTCAAAATATCTAATACGTCTAACTCTCTGAGATTTGTATCATCTCTGAGAAAATCCATACGTCAGTTGCCGCCTGATTCTGCGTTGGACGATGCCGCGACCCAAGACACCCCACGTCTTCTGGCCCCTGTATCTCTTCCTCTCCCTCTCACGACATCGCTATGTCAGTCAGGACGGCCAGTTACTACTCTGACAATATTCCCTATGACAACGACGTCTCCTCACCAGAGTGGGACTTCACTAAGTATATGAATAAAAAAATGAACACACCACAAATTCGTCCAACTGCCTCAATATGGGCTCAAGCTTCTACCATTTGGAAGGCCCTACACGGCCGCAAGGGTTCAGTACTGGTTGAAGCCAAGTCATTTGATTCGGACTTTAACACAGCCGAAGGCACAGCCCTCGCTGCTGGCCTTTTCAAGTCAAATAAGTATAACCCAGTATGATTTGAAGACTTGGATCCGGCTACGCCCCAATAGCAATATGACCCCGAAGTTTGCCGCGGTGCAGATGACGAGACATGCTTAAAACGTGCTTCTACTCCATCCTACGTCTCCATGATAGCCCCCGAATACGATCACTACGACGTTGAGCGCATAATTCGTCTCAAACTCTTCCAGTATGTGGACTTATTCCTCAACAACTTGAGTGATCGCCTTCCACCTGATCAGCTGGCTGTAATCCAAGCTAACCCGGGAATTATGCTCCCAGCAATAGCATTTCGTGACCGCCTGGACACTATTGCCCATTACCACGTCGTCTGCCGTCTTTTTAGCCTATGCCCGCCCAAGTATAAGTGTTGCCTATCATAAGAGTGTTAAAGTCTTACACGCTACGGGCAAGGCGAAGACTATGCTCAAACACATCATTGGTCATGTAAAGCCAATCTTGCCTCAAAACAAGAAGGCTCTTTTCGTGCCTTTTGCTGGGATCTAGTTCTTCACGTTATGGCACCCACAGTTAATCATGATCCACTCAAGCTTTATGTTATCACGGATGCTGTCCCCCACTTTCTCGTCGATCAATCTGGTTACCTTCCAATTTCACTCTTTGGCTGCTAGGATTCAGCTCATTCGCAGAAAACCACCTCCAATATGACAGTGTTCCCGAATTTCCGAAAGCTTTAGTTCAGGCTGTTCAAGCATTGTAGCCCGATGACGAAAGGTCTCGAGTACATTGCTTTCACATCTAGTCTCGAGGCATGTGCCTTCAAGGCGGTCTCACTTAACGTGAATGGGCTAAACAACCTTCGCCTTCAATAATATCACAGTTTACTCTCACGTTACCAAGATGTGGTTATACAAGAAACCAAGTTTTCAAACCGACAAATACTCCAAGACAATGACTACTTCTTACATTTTGCGGATGCTCACGCACACTCAATAGTGTTCCCGTGCTTCTTAGAAAAGTTTGACTCCCGTAACGGTGCCGCACTACGCTTAAACAGTGTACACTCAATTCAACACCGTCAAGGAGAGTCTTCACTCCTTTACAATGCTGAAGTATAGCGCAATCCCTATATGGTTGTCTCTGCGAATCTAGGTCTACTTTCATGTGATGTAAGGACCAGTCTGTCCCGAAAGCCGAGCAGCGTTCTTCTCGACCCTACCGCGCCACTTTGATGATTCCTCGGTCCATATAGCCATGGGTGATCTCAGCATGACTATATATCCCGATTTGGACCAACATTCGCCCGAAGCCACTAACCACGATGCCGGCCAAGCTGAGCGCTTTGACTGGATGATCAGCCCAAAGCTGGTCGATTTTTGGCGCCTTGAAAATCCGGACAAGCTGGACTTCACGGGCCCGAACTTCAAGAATCTTATTGACTATTGCCTCGATTCTATTAACTTGTAAAACAAGGTTGTTCGTTCGTCGGTCAATTTGCTGAACAAGACATTTGGCAATGCGGATCACACTCCAGTCGAATTTACTGCTTCATCCGACGCCATACCAACGGACAAATCGTAACCTTTCAATTGCCCGCCTTGATTTACTTCGTTGGTAAATAATACAAGATCATTTTCATCTTCCTCACCTGTTGTCTGCCAACTCGACCCGAATAGAAACTCAGGTTGCTTGTTAGACGAGTACAAACGACGGGATTGAATCTTTCTTCGTCGAGAAATTATACGACAAGATGCTACAGCCGCTCAGCTTTGGCTTTTACTCATCGCTTCTCGCGATTGTGAAAAACGCTTTGCGGTAGACCCAATGGTAACTATAGACTTCAAAGATACACCTCTCAACAAGCCTATTTGGGTTTCCTTAACGCATTTCGGGAACGAACACCTTTTCAAAATTTGATCTGGTGGCCACTTCTGGTGAGGACCCCTCCGAAACTTTTATTGGGCTCCCACTGCGACGGAACTAATGCTATCGATTTTGTCAAACAAAACGCCTTTAAGATTGTCAAAGGACCCCGCTACCATCTTGTCGGCTCACCGTCGATATTGGGGCACAATCTTCCGATCGTATTCTGGAGACCTCCAGGTTAAACCTCGGCAATTCGACTCTACCAAGCTTCAAGATGTCCTCAGACACAGCCATTTAGTCCAAGTCAATATGCTCGATGCACCGCTTACGACCAACGATTTCTTCTTTGCTAAAAAGCATCCCACCTGATGGAAGTCACCAGGTCCTGATGGACTACCGGCAGAATACTACAACCCAATGGGCTTACATCTTGGAGCTGGTTTATGCTGCACAATTCCGGAAGAGTCGCGTGACTAAGTTTCAACGCCATGTCTATATGCCTCTTCTTTTCAAGAAAACCTCTCGCTAGGTCTCCAGGAGCTACCGACCCTCGACTTTGCTTAATCAAAACGCTAACTTCGGTTCGAAGGATCGGCCTATCGTCTCAATCACTACCCAGTATGCTAAACGAAGATGAATCTGGTTTTGTGCCTGGACGTGATATTCGACATGCTCTTCGCTTTTTTCAGGACTTATCGGATCACTGCCGGCAAACAAGTTTGAGAGCTCCAGCCGGAGCTATTTGCCTCGACTTTGTTAAAGCTTTCGATGTGTCTATTGGCACGCCTTAGATCACGTTCTATTTTTATGGGATTTCGGATGCAATTTTCGACAATCAGTTGAAAAAAATCATCCACAGTACTCTCGCTTAAGTGTTGACTATCTTACTCACGCTCGGAATTCCTCAGCATAGGCGCCGGCGTGTGTCAAGGCGACTCATTATCCCAAAGGAATTTGTGTTTTATATCGAGCTATTTAGCTGCCATATACGGGGTACTTATGCCAACACAGCCATCAAAATTCGTACTACGTCCCATCATATCCCCAGCTTCGCCAATGATGTCACTGGCTTGATTAAAACCGCTCACAAACTCCTAATTATTAAGCGAGTTCACGACTTCTGTACTGCGACTGATATGTGGCTTTATGTGGATAAGTCATTAACTTTTCGTTTAGACCCTGGACGTCCGGGGACTTTGAGCTTTAAGCCAAACTTCATGGGTTGGGTGCTAGAGATCTGATGAATGGCGAACATACGACGCTTCTCGGTATTGCCGTCGGACCTAGTATTAGCCCGCATTTCCAGCTAAACCAAGTTCTCATCCGCTTTCATAAACTCTGTGTTACTCGGAGATGGCGTGCACGCCCTTTTTTGGGTGGAGTGCTAATTTCGATTTTTGATTTTTTGTCTACTCTTTGGTATTTCTTGGGAACAGTTTTCGTGTCAAACAAGAGCTCCTCAAGTTCAACCCGCTTATGCGGAACTTCGTCAACTGCACACCCTCAAATACTGTGTCAGACCTGCATGCACAGTCACTTGTCAAGCGCATGGCATCCGGTTGGCGTTTTGGCTGGAGGACCTGTCTTGCCCTCCGACGCTACCTCGGGTGAGCTACTATAGGTAAACCTCATGCGGTAGCTAGTTCGTCATACCGGACAGAACTACTCGACTCTGTCTGAGTGGCTTTTTCCCGCTCAAACTGCGATTTATGATGCATTTAATGGGCAAGGCTCAAGTTTGGATTTTCTTATTTTCAACTCACCTGGCATCAACCTCTCGTTGGAACGCCGAGGGATGTCATTGATATATGGAGCTTCATCATCGCTAAGCTCCAATGTTCAAACCCGGTTCTGATCATGCTTACATGGCCTACCTGAAAAAATGTTTCTCTCCGTTTTACGAAAGCCAACCGTAATTTAGTACGACTACGTCACAAGTCGTGCAATTATCTAAGCCATCAAGGTCTCTTGCGAAATATAACTATTCGCTCTGTCTTCGGATGGAAAACGGATGGATCAACTCTCGGAGAGTCCCTCGCTTGCTCTTCTATCAAGTCAGAACGGACCATAACTTTAGCAATCCAAAACCTTGCCCCAACGCTCGAGGTACCACTACACTATCCGAAATTCTCGATTTTTCCTCTGCCACCTAAAGCATTGGTGTGTGCGCTACATGTCTGGACACTCGACGGTCACGACGTCGTTTATGCCTCAAACACGGTTATCGAGCACCTTTTGCTGGATCACGACCCACCTCCCCTACCGCTTCTTTAGCTTTCAACGTTGGATGTGGTTTTCACCTCTTCCCATTGGTCGATTGAACGATTTCTTCGACGTGATATTCTCCCGGTTTTTTCTGATTTCCTATTTTGCCTACAACACATTGGACTCGCCTTTCGATACATGTATCGTTGGCACACCTAGGATACAAATTGTGTTCATGGTTGTACCATTTTGGAAATTCCGTGCCATATCTTCTGGGACTACCCTATGGCACAACGTTTATGGCGACTATTTCTTTCTCCGTTTTCACGCCTATTTTTTATATGTTTGATCGGCCCCAAGTTCCCTTCCTTCATAAAGTAAGTATCCCAACAGCACAACAAGCTTTCTATGGTTTGCACACCCTTATTCGACTGTATAATGTTATCCGCAGTGTCATTTTGGCTCAACCGCAACAAGGCAATTTTCAACGCCCCCCTTACAGTTTATGGAAGTCTACCGTCAAGGTTTAGTAATGGTGCGCCTCAGTATGAGCGTAACGGATTGCAATCCGCTACCTCCAAGAGTACTTGAAACCCTCACCAAGGTCAAGACCTTTCAAATTTGATACCTGTTTTTTTGCGACAGAGCCACTTTTATTGAAATCTCTAGCTTTTCCTAGTCAAATAGAAAAACCTAATTTATATGCATAACTACTGGCAGTCCCGCCACGTAGTGGCTTCTTGTTTCGGGGCAGCCACACCATTATGTAATTACATAGACTTGTGTAATCCACACCTTTGTATGGTCACACAATCTTTTGGACCCTCCCTTTCATACAAGGCTACGTGTGATCCCATTGCACTCTCCCCCATCAAAATTGTGAGGACCCACAAATCACATTTAACTGTCGCCTCATACGAGGTCCGCGTGTCTGAGACACCGTTACGTCCTTAAGAACATCCTTGAACATTCTCCGCTCAATGAGCCCTGTTTTTATGACAAGAAAACACCCAGCCTTTCGGCGCCCGTGGGCATAGCCCTTCTTCTTTTGCACGGAGTGCATCTCGGAACATTACGTTTGAAGCTTCAAGGGAAGGACATACCAAGCCCACGGCAACCGAGCGCCACACACCGCGCCCACCCCGGCGACGGATTGCCTCGTCAAGAATTCAGAAAAAGTCGGCTACGAGTCGAAAACGCCTTTCCCAACATGGGGAGACGAGCCGGACGAGGTTCGCCAACGGCGCGACGTGAGCTAGCTCGAGCCTTCTGGAGACCCTTATCGATCCCCGACCTCTCGACTTACGGGTGAAGTGGTATTGCTCCCTATCGCCTCGACAAGGCACAGAAGCAGCTTTGGAGGCTGCCCACAAGACGGCTCTCATGCACTCGCATCCACGTTTGTTCCTGGACCCTTGTGTAAAATACGGCTTTCACCGGGCGGATCCCGCTACTGAAGCGAAAGAGGGGATCACTCGATCGTTAGGCGTCTACGTAATCAAACCCTTAGCCACTACACAAGATGATCTTGACCAGCGGAAAGCTCACCGAGCTTGCGTCTTGGTTCCCAATGGATATGAACCGCGCTCAACCTCGAACTCAAAGAGAAGGCGCTCCTGTGCCCTCGATGTGGACTTTTCCTGTGGTGCTTGCCCCTGGTGAAACCGCTGTGGATGATGATGAGCTTTTTGAGTGATGGGTGCAGCGGCACCGGAAACTTTCCTTGCTGTCTACCTTACAGCAAAGCCACAGAAAGTGGACGTGCGCGTAGAGCGCCATCTTAGGTTTGAGTTTGTCAATCTCAAGGTGCAACGCTGACTTTCCACGAATTGTAGCCCTGCAACATATGAATCAATCCATATCCCTTACGCGAGCTCGGTGGTTTCTCACACAGGTGAATTTACGACCTCAGCAGCTCAGGGCCATAGCTTGAGCTCAGCTCATGTCCGTCTGGCTTCCCAGGTACTACCGAGAAGCGCGGGGTGCATGACGACGAGAAGCGTCATGATTCTTCTGCTCATAAGCGTCCACGACATCTAGGCAGTCTTGTCTTGGTGGCACCTCTAATTGTTATGACTACTCGGAGTCATGGTAATCCCGCCATTTCACAGAATATAGGATTCGACCCTATCAACGACATCGACCCACAAAGCGTTCCACGTGGTAGTGGACGCCTCCACTCTCATCGAGAATAGTCGGTGGCGAACAATGATGACTTAGTCGATCGCCGTCTGGTGACCCGCGATGCTCTTTGAGCTTTGTAGGACAAAGTCCGTCGTCATCGGCATTCCGCCGAGCATCTTTCCAAGGTTGCCTACCGCTGTGCGAGAGGCCTCGAGGTCTGGAGCACTTGCACACCTACTGCCTCACGTAGAGGATTATCGCCTCTATCAAAGCGGCTCCTAGCCGTCAAATAGACGAATACGTCACTCAGTGCGACGGTGGAGCGCCTTACACCGAGGAAATGGAAACTATTGCACTCCGTGCTGATAACCAATTGCCGGTACAGCTTCTGGGTGGCCGAGCGCCTTTGAGCGCCGCCCGGGCGCAAGTGCACACGGAAGCGTTGCAGGAGCCCGGTCCGTCTTCGTTAAAGCCCACATAAAATAATGGGGTGAGTGCGCATTCCTCTCAGGAGGTTCAGTGTTTACGCAAGGCCTCGGTTGGTCACGATCTTAAAAGGTCCAATAAACCTTGGAAGGGGCTTTGCATTAAGACAGCAGAGATTGCATGTGTAGGGTTGCTTTGAGTATTCAATAAAGTCAGATCTCCGACTTTAAAGTTTTTCACACTTCTTCTGCTTTTTCCGTCTGAATATTTTTTCTGCATGTCTTGGCCTTTAACAATTGCATCGCGAAAGTGTCGGAGGACACTCAGTCTGGTAGACAAGAAGTCATCGACTCCTGTACGGACAGTGAGGAGGCTGACATCAACTAGCCGTTCGGCTATTTCTCCCTATTAAGCCCTGAGCCATGGAATGACGTCGTCAGCGTGACGCGAGGTTTAACAAGCCCTTTCATGAAGAACGGCGTGTAGCCGGTAGATGAATACAGTGCATTGTTCAGCGCAAACTCTACAAGTAAGAGCATGGTGCTCCAGCGCTTCGGCGTCTCAGCTCAGACGCTGCGAAGAACGTCTCAACGAAGCAATTTACGCGCTCAGTTTGACCATTGGTATGCGGATGGTCAGCTGTTGACATAATTAACTTGGTAGAGCACCATGAAGATTGTAGACCAAAACCTCCCAGTAAAGCGCGGGTCTCTATCAGAGATAACTGACTTGACTATGGGTGGGTACAACGACGCTGTTGATGGTGTCCGGCACTGCCGCAAGATAAGCCCTCTTGCTCAAACGGTCCACGAAAACCACCACATGCGTGGGTTGCCCACCAAGGGCTTCGGCAGGCGAAACACAAAGTCCATACTCATGGACAGCCAAGCCCCGAGGGGTACCGGTAAGCTGACCAGCTATTCGAAGAGAGTTTTACCCTCTGAAACGTCTCAAACGTGCGCACATATGTGCCCGTCCATTTGAACAACTTGGGCTACCAGTAGTGAAAACTCACAGAGCTGTACGTTTTCTCATG